CGGCAAACACCTGGACCACGCAAATTTGGGCCAATCATTATCAATCAAACCATGAGTGAGCAACACCGAATTGGAATAAATGGGATACACGTGCCTTATGATGTGTAACATTTTATTTAGAAATTATTATTAGCCGATAAATTGAATTATCACAGTTGCACCTGTCAAGCGGTCTGTCACTCAGTTAGATATAGACGGATTTCTTGCCTGCCACCATGTTTATGTAAGACAATAACGTAACTCGAGCTGGAAAGTGTGGCTGAGCTGTGCTGCTCCAAACAAAGAGAGAACTGTGTTTGTTTTTCAGATCCTTTTATGCCTGAAGTCATAAAAATAAAAGCAAGCTTTTAGCTTTGATGTTTCACAGAAAAACCCTTTAGTCAACCTTCTCTTCACGCATTACATTGTGTTTTTAGTTACATGTTGATTGTATTACCTTTCAGTGGCTGGCTTTTTGTATGCTAAGCTCTGCATGCCAACTTAAAATGATTACAGAAGCTTTGGATGCATTCAACACTGTGCATTCTCACCATTTCTTCACATCCCTGTCAAAATAGTGCAGAGGTCACCACAGCTTCAGCAAGCAGCGTGACACCGTACATCGCAGATTTTAGACTATTCACACCTAAACCACATTGCATCAGTCGGTTAACTGTGACATGATGGAACATCAGAGTCATAGACATAAAATCGAACTGCGAGAACCTGCGGGCACCAGATGCTGCACACAGTTTGGGCCTTTATTGGAAGAATTGTGGGAAAGAATTTGGCACATCTCACTGAACATCTTTTTTTTTTTTCACTAAAACATTGCATTTAATTTTAAACAGGCTTGCTATTGCTCACATAGTTTTATTAAATCGAGCCCTTTTTGTTTCCAAGTCCGATCATGTGTCTCAGAAATGTGTAGCATGTTGCCTGTTCTCTGGATTCCTTCTCACAGACAGTGCAGCCCTCTTTCTCTGTCTTCTGACAGCGTTAGACAGCTAATATCCTGCGTTCTTCAGTTCACCACTTGGTGTGTGTGTGTGTGTGTGTGTGTGTGTTGTGTGTGTGTGTGTGTGTGTGTGTGTGTGCACAGTCATACAAACACTCCCACACAGACAGACACATTCAGCTTCCAGGTCTTTCTTGGCTCCCATCACCAGTCAAGTTTCATTTCCACCTGTGTCCTGCTGAGGCAGCTGGTGAAAAATATTCCCTGCCAAGCGCACTGTTATGATGATACCTTACATACCACATTTTTGTTTGCCAAATTTTACTTTTAATCACTCTCTTTGTGTGTTGCTACTATAATTATAAATGAATGCAGTGCTGAGGGGTGGAATAGGACTGATGTGTTGCATCAATCAGTACCTTTCAGCAGGATGCTGTTAATCTGCTGTTACACCGCATTGTTCTGTTGATACCTTCTGCACAGTGGCAACAAGACGATACAAGAACGGTTTACATATCTTTGTTAAGGTCAGCGAGAATATGTTTTTATCTTTCTGCGTTTCCTGAGAGTGGCAACATTTTAATGCAGGGATAAGGGTTTTGGCTTGACGACACTGCTGCATTTTTATGCCATTCTGAATAGGCTTGATGTCAGAAACGCTTGAATAATAATGAATGCAAAATGTCTACAGATGCACACGCTCTCATGGCGAACACATATACAGCCACAGTGTGCACTGGACTCTAATGATGGATGTCCTTCCATTATCAGAATCAAACTGAACAACAGTGAGCCAGAACAATTACAAAGCACCAAATGTTTGAAGAAGAAGAAGCAGAAAAAAAAAAACACACAGTCGATATTAACATAGCATTGGAAATACCAGCATTTCTACATGCACAAGCCAACTAACCAGAGGAATTATGATTCCAGCTTGTTTCATTGCACACACATTTTTCCCCCTTTGGAATGATTTACTCACGAGGGGAAGAAAAAAAAGAAATCCATTTTTATTTAAAATATCTGCACTCAAAACACCAGGCAAGCAAAACAACTTATATTTATTGCCCCTTGTCTCTGAAAAATATTTGAAGGGTTTAGGCAGCAGCCCAACAGGAAAACGACAATGAATTTCAGGCAACCCAAAGATTAAGTGGTTGTGCAGAGGGTAGGGTGATTGCTAGATTCGCCGAGATGGTGTTAATGAGCACAAATGCTGCTTGATATTTAATTTTTAGAATTTGATCTTTGTGTTCTTGATAAATTATGACTGCCATTTGTAGCACGAGCTTCTGTTACTTTGCTTGCCATGTAAAGACTCTGAAAATATGCATTGTGACCTTTCACTTGCAATAAGCACACATGAGTTTTGGAAAAGGTAAAAAAAAAACATGTTAAGAAATTGTTTGAAAGATTAGAAAATCCTATTTCTACAACAAACCTGTGATATGACAGATAATTTGTGTACATTATGTTCAGAACCTACACGATGGGACTCCATCCTAATCCCCAAATGTGCAAATGGCAACAAAGAGATTCATTCTGTTACCAGTTAACAGTAGGACACCACATGCCATGTTCTCGGGATGATAGCTAATAGGTTAATTTGGACTCATTGTTAAAGCCTTGGGAATACAAAAGAGCATGCAGCAGGATGAAACCCAAACATCTGTTCGTATCAAGTTTTATGTTTCAAGAAACTATTAAGTCCTAGGAGTGGTATGATTTCAGCCATGTTTTCTTTCCAGGCCAGCTTATGATGCATTCTCGCACCAACACTGTGATGTGCAGTGGGTCGGGAGAAACCTGTCACTGATTATCTCTGGCTGGCCAATCCACACTGTGAAATAAGGAGTCATTATCAGACTCATCAGATAAGCAGATGTTGACAAGCTGCTCTGTAAGTGAGAATGCCTCTCCACTGAACAGTGCAGTGATGTACTATATGCATGGTTTGACTTCAGCCGCATAAAATCAAAACGCGAGCTTATTTTATTACGGTTGATGAATGTCATAGGCTGCACTCACGTGGTCCAAATGTAAACAAGAGCATGCAGTGATGTCAGTAACGGAAACTTGTTTGAGGGGATTTATAAATGGCTGTGTTTCGAATTAAGAGAAAAGTCGCTGTAAAGATGCTATAAATATAAGACGAACAAATTAAAGGTGAAACTGCCCTTTAACTGATTCTGGGACTCAGGGGTTAAAGGGTTAAAAACAGATGTTTTGGAACCGGAAGTTTGTACATTTGCAGATCTGTTTAACCGCTAACCACCAGAGTGCCCTTGAGCACCACCAAAAATCCACAATGGCCAACTAAACAGCCCACTGTTAGAGCTGCGCATGTGCGAATGAAGCGCATTGACTTTCTACAGGAAAAAACAGGCATCAGACGGTGACTATTTGTTTTTTTTTCTCCTGAAGGCTGAGGTGTGCTGCAGTCTCACCCTGCCGCAAAGCGCTAATTGGGGTGGCCTCATTTAGCAGCACGTCAAAGGGGACGCGACAACACCGTGTCAGCGCCTCCACAAATCTCCTGCATGGTCTAAACTTAATAGCATGTCAGACATCACAACTGATGCAATAGGGGTCACGGTGAGCCTATGTTTCACTATAACGAACCCTTCCCCAACCCCGGCATGAAGACCGGGGTGGCAAAGCGGAGATTAATGTTCCAATCAGCGATGTGGTTAAATAAAAAAGCTGTGAACTATACGAGCTACAGTCTGGATTATCACAAGGCAGACAAACATCAACTAGACAAAAGGAAAGGGGGGGATACAAATTTGTGTTGTTGTTTTTTTTGTATTGTTTTGGGTTTTTTGTCTAGAAAATGGCATTATTTCACAACAGCTGGACATTCCATTTGTAAAGACAGATTTCCTCTGCCTGTCACGGACAAAACGGCGAGCTGCTCCAGTGCAGCGTTGGTCCCAGCAGATTACACATGTGGAAGCTCGACTTAAAGTACTTGTAAGAGCTGCTGTTTATAAGAAACGAGGATTTAGCGAGAGTTTCCAACAGGGAATCAGTATCCCAATCAAATCCACCAAACCAATCAAATTCCAGCTTTTATCGAAATTCTGATAGTTGACTTTTTTTTCTTTTTAAATTTTAAATGCGTTTAAAATTTTGTTTTGGGACGATAATGCCACAAATCTATGTGAAATGAAATATTTACACCTTACTCTTAGAGTTAAGTGGTGTCTAAAGCGAATAAGAATAGGAATAACTATGAGAATATCAATAACAAAAAAAAATATTAATAAATTAAACAGTCAAATTTCAAAGGGGCACGAAAATAAAACGATATAAATGACGTCCAGTCACTGAATATGCATGAAGATTAAAAATAACATGCTGTAATTTTTCTGTAAATCAGCGTCTGGATTGTCTTTCTATGCAAACTTAGATGTTCAGTGTGGGATGGATTGCTCCATTACCCAGGCTCTGGCACTGGAGTCGTTTTATGGCTGCAAATAAGACAGGGTTTCTTGGAGGCGTTTCGAAATGTCTGCATGCCAATAAACCAAAGTGGCCTTGACTTGAATTTGACCTTTTTGTATTAGAACCCTTAAGCCCGCCAGATGAGGACTCTGGGATAACGGGTTTGCAAGTTATTTCACGACTTTCAAACTCGGGGCGTAGGCTCCCAAGTTTTTCAACTCCCTTATCACTTAAAATGGATATCACGTGTAAGCCTCCGCCGGAAACCTAATAGTTAAACCCCACTGCAAATGTTTAACTCATTGATTTAGTTCTCATTGAGTGACGGCAGCTGGGCATGCACATCAGAGCGCTGGCAAAAGCATGGGCACCTCATCCATCAAGGAGCGTGGATTATAGTTTTTTTCTAATCTTGGGCTATACTCCACGTGTCAGTGCAAAGTTTCTGCATAAGCAGCATTTATCAGAGCGTCTGATTTTGTTTTAAAAAAAGGGGTGTGATCTCACAAAAAAGGGAAAAAGGTCCAAACAAGTCATTAAGAGCAGCCACAACTTACAAAATGGGAGGGAAAGAGTTGCAAGTGTTTTGTTTTTTTTTTGTTCGTTTTTTTTTTTAAATGAAAGCCTATTTCCATATACTGCACGTGCATTTTAAAAAAGCAGAAAACAAAAGTAAGAAAGGTTGAATCTGTCTGATTTTTGATGCGCACATAAGCTGCAGCGTGTCTACCTTGGTAACACAAACGTCAGGCTCGGTTTACTGGCCACAAGTGCTGGTAATAAATATTCATGATGCTGGCGCCTGCGCTTTCCCGATATCTGTTTGTCATTTCCAGACTTGAGCGTAGATACATTTAAAGTGGATGTTTTTCCCCCCGCGCTCCTATTTGATCTGGAGTCACCATCAGCCCTATAGCCTGATGGAAGTCGCCTCCAGCCTCTCGTCGACTCTTCTTTTACGAGCATCTCATTTTCGACACCGTGTGCAGGTTCAGTGTAAAGTTATACGACAGAACCACGAAGTCAGAATTAAGTAGTAAAGTCCCCTGCTTTTTGGATTGAGTTGTGTTGGCAGGGCAAAGAGCTAACGTTTGTTTTCTCGTTTCCTTTTTTTTTTTGTAAGACTTAAAGGTTTTAGTTTCACTATTTGCTAAAAGCATCTGCAGGGAAATTAAAAAACAACGTGGCTAAAGTATGAACTCAAGTCTGTGGCCATTAGCAGGCAAAAACTATGGATCCAGTCTGAGATTAAATCCATTCCACGAAGAGCATTTTCCATCATTATTAGTCTGGACTCGAAACATAATTTCACATTTAAAGACTTTCCCTCAAATGATAAATAAACTGTTTTTGTTTTGTTTTGTTTTGTCTTTTTGCCGAATTGAGCTTTTATCTCAAACATTTGTCAATTTGGCATCAACTTTATATTTAAATAAAATGCACGTGTGGACTATCTGCCAGCCCAGAAAACCACAGGAGCCAGTTTTAACACATCCACTTTAAACTATTTATATTTCAAGTTGCATGTGAACATTTTTCTATAAAGCTGCAAACGAATTCACTGCACGGGCGTGGAGTGCGTCTTTATTTTATTTTTTTTCACCCCCATAGTGGTGCACGAGAGCAGCATCTGCACTGGGACCAGATAGATAGTGTTAAATAGAGTCGAAAAAGTCATTTTATTACCATCCTTCATTTATCTCCAAATCTAATAGTCCGTGAAAAGAAAATATGAATACATTTCAATACATTTCAACAAATCATCTAAGATGGTGGGAGTCGTTTTTAGGTTTTTTTTTTTATTTTAGTTTTATTTATTTATTTTTTGCCGCTATAGACGAGCATGCACGAGCACACGCACGCGTTTCCTCTGCTGCTATGTGTACATTTTTTTTTTCTTTTGGGACGTTAAATTTGCTGTGTGGCTCTTTTCGGGCATGTGCGACAAGCCTTTACGAGGGTGCAGACTGACAGATCGTGGCTCCGTGCACACACTGCCAGTGTTAACCATGATCAGTGGCGGCTGCTGATGTGATCTCTGCCTAATGGGGCGGTCAAGCAAGCTGCAGCCAGGAACAATGAGGGGCCAGACTAATACACCAACTCTCCCTAAATCTATGAAATCCGACAAAACGCAGGAAAGAAAAATTAGATTGGAAAATTAGATTCCCGAACAATTAAGTAAGGCAAGAGGGGGGAAAAAAATCCGGTTTTACACCGAGGAACAACCGCCGTGATTAATCGATTTAATTTGCACATTACTGGAGGGCAAAGTGTTGGATGTTAATTTTGGATAAACAGAAGATGCAAACTGGGGAGTGAATTTACTTATTATCGACTGGCAGGAAAAGTTGTGACAGCGTGTTTAAAACACGGCAAACCTTTACGTTCAGAATGAGCTGGTGCCTCACACACGTATATATATCTATATACACACACAAACACACACATACGCGCCTACTGCAAAAGCACCCCCCCACACACACCCACACACATATACGCACACACATAAAGAGTTAAAATTATTTGTGCAACTAACCATGCAATTATTCTTCCATCGGAACTGTACTAAATGGATTATCGTGGTGGAAAAAAGGGGGTCTGTTTTGGTGATGCATCCTATAAAAAGAACCCATTAGTTTAACACAGCACTCATGTTGAGATCAACCTCAAACACTAATGAAACCAATAACCTCCAACGCATTGCATTCTTGTATTTTTTAATCCTTTAATATAGTACGAAATGTATCCAAACATTTTTTTTTGTTGTTTTTGTAAACTAAATTTTACATACGAGCGCATTTCTCCATAAATACCGATCATTTCTAACATGTTACCGGTCCTTTACATGCGGATAAATATGGAAAATTGAGCTACTTACATAATACTTCCTTTCAGACAAAGCAATTGACAGAGATTTTATAATTATCACTACATAAACAGATTGACACGGAATTTCAGGCTTTCACTACACGATTTATCGACATGACATTAAATAACAACAATGATACTGTGCTACTCAAACTGGACCTTGGACGAAAATGTTGCACTGAATAGGCTACAAAAGCACATTAATACTAAGAGTCGGTTAAGTCGACGTGTAGACTGTAGTAATACTGAATAATTCACATTTGGTACACAACTATAACATTCTTTTCAATGAAGTCTATTCATCGCAGTATTCTTAAAACCATCTCATTTTTCCATATATCTAGGGACCACATTTTTCACAAATTCCCTTAAACTGTGATAGAACTATTTACAAAATAAAATATTACATTTTTTTTTCAACTTGGTGAAATCCTTATGTACAAAAATTCAGGCCTCTACCCGCAGATAGCATGCTTTTTGAGATCTCTCTCTTCTTCCTTTTTTTTGAGCAGTCTCTCAGTAAAAATAAAGACTCAAAGAAATATTTAGGGGGGGAAAAGTTTAAGTAGGTGGCTGTCCTTGCCTCCTTTATGTCCATGCATTCTCTTTCACTGACATTAAGGCAGCCTTTTATTGATCGTTTGGGCCTCCCGTGTTTTTTTCAGTCCTCGTTTCACTGGCTGACTTGATAAAGTCTTTGATTCCAAGCAGTTTTATTTATTTCTTTATTTCTGCAGTCTTTTTTCCCCTTGCTTTCTTTTTCTTTTTCAAAAATATTTACACGTACCATTCATTGAAATTTGACGACAGCGTGCTGTGGCTGGTTGTGTGGTGTACTGCTGAGGCTGCTGGTGATATGGAGCTGCTGCTCTGGTTCTCTGTGGACGGTGATACTATGGTGGGAGGTGTCGACGACTCGTACCCTGAACTGGCCGCTGGAGATGGCTGCGATCCTGCATTGTTGGATTCGTGGACCTGCGAGTAATGAGAAACGTGTTTTGAGAATCGTGGTGCACCGTGGGGGTTTTTGTTTTCGTTTTGTTTTTGATCAAACACAGAACATAAGAACCTCATCAAAACAAATTAAAAGTCCTAATCTGACTGTTGGGGGACATGTGCAGAATTCTAAAAAACACAAAAAAAGAAACAAAAAAAGCATACCCAAAACATAATTATTCCCATTAAGATCTTAATCTGATTTGTCGGTTAAAGAAAGAAAGTGTCAAGACAAATTAACTTGTGTTTCTGTTACTACACTGAAGGAAAAAAAGGAGGGGGGGAAAACTGGGACATCCTGTTAGAATAAAATCATACAAATAAAGAAATATTTTGTATCCTGGTTTCCAGTCACACATTGAAAGCAGCAAAAAAAAAACAGTCTGTGACTTGCACTTGCACACAGATAAACATTGCAGGAATACAAAAAAATACAATATTAATAATAATAATAAAACGGGTTTTACCTTCATGTGTTTTCGGAGGGAGCTGGGGTGTGTGTATGACTTGTCGCACATTTTGCAGAGATAGGGCTTGTCCGATGTGTGGACGTGCATGTGTTTCTTGCGGTCACTGCTGTTTGCAAACCGCCTGTCGCAGCCTTCAAACTCACATTTAAAAGGCTTCTCACCTAAACGAAGCAAGAAAAATAACAATATAGTGTTTGACACCGATGGGGCTTTAACATTATTATTACACATTTTTATTTTGACTAACAGTAACCAGAGTAAAGATTTATATTTTTTTTAATAGTCATTTGGATTGGATTGCCTTGCAATAATTATCTACTGTAAATACATTTGAATCAGCTCATTTAGATGTGCATAAATAATATCAATTTGAATTTAAATATTATTTTAAATGTAATAGAAAATAGAAAATCTGGGGAAGCAAAAAGAAAAGCCTATAAAATATTTTCTGTCGACAGCTGCACTGAGTCAAATGTCAGTGAAGATACTGCAGCTGCCTTATAAATAATAATCCTGATTGCATGCATATTTTGGATGAGGCATTCTCAGCACTGATTTTGGCACTAAGAAAAAAAAACGGTCAATCTGTGCGGATCTTACCGGTGTGAGTCCTTTTGTGTATTTTTAGATTTTCCGATCGAGCAAATACTTTGCCACAGCCGGGGAACGGACACGGAAAGGGCTTTTCACCGGTGTGTACTCTGATATGATTTACAAGTTTGTATTTGGCTTTGAATGGCTTTCCTTCTCTGGAGCAGTCCTCCCAGAAGCAAATGTGGTTCGTCTGCTCTGGTCCTCCCACATGCTCCACCGTTAGATGGGTCACAAGCTCGTGCATCGTGCTAAAAGTTTTGTTGCACGACTTTTTGGGATTCGTCAGCTGTTCCGGTTCGATCCACTTGCAGATAAGCTCTTGTTTGATCGGCTGCCTCATGTATCGAAAGAAGGCCCCTGCTCCGTGATGTGCAGCCATATTCATGTTCATGGGGCCATAGCCGTGCAGCTGGGTTGACGCATAGTGGTCAGACCTGGGGCTCGTAACGTGGCCATACTGGTCGGCCCGTCCGTACATGTCCCCCGAGAAGCCCAGCCGCATCTGGCTGTTGACCACGTTGGAAGAGGCATGGCTTGCTGCTTGCTCGTGGAGCCCTGGGAAGAGCAGGTGCCCGGCTGCATCTGAGTGTCCATGTGGCCCTGCGAAACTTCCGGAGGCAAACAGACTGTGCTGCGCCCCGGTGGCATCCCCAAAACCCCGATTTCTGAAGAGAAAGTCCCTGGTGGAGTTGAAAGCCGCCGTGGAGTAAGAGCCAACGTGGGTCGGGTGGTGATGGTGTCCCAAGGCAGCTGCTGCGTAGCCGGGCGCCTGGGAAGAAAACGCCGTCTGTCCGGAGCCAATATCGTGGGAGCTGTGGTTTATTTTGAAGGCGCCCATCCCATCCGCGAACGGATTTATCCCCAACGCTACTTCTCTCTCTGTGACTTCGCCTGTTGAGTGATGCCGTGAGGAGCCGAAAGTAGTGACTCCTATGGTGGGATACTGCGGTCCTGCGTCCAGGAGCATCTTCAGTCTAGACTCGCTGAGACGACTGAGAGCAGAAATCAAAAAACCACGCGCAGATATTCTTCCTCCCCCTCTCTGTATCTCTTGGACCTCTACACTGAGCAAACTCTCAAATCCACCGAATTTCTGTTTACTTTTTAAGACGCGAGGAATCCCCCTATACCGCTCATCCGATGCACACGCAAAATCGTGTATACATGCAATATTGTCTTTTGCGGTTTATCTTCCTGTGGCGCAACTTTCACCTCCTCAGTCAGGCGGTGAGCTCTAGACTGATAGTCGCAATCATTCCTGCAGATAAATGAATTGAAAAGACAACACAGTCCAGCCCTGATGAATGGGAGAGGAGGGGGGTAGTCACGTGGCTCCGGAGCTTCTCGTTCATTGGCGGAGCCCCTTTCCCCCCAATAACATCCACTCACCAAATAACAATCCACGGTGCAGGGCCCTCACTTCTATTGGCCTCTTTGCATCATCAATCCCAGATATTGTGAGAATGCTGACTGTGAATTTGGTTAAAGGGCTGAATAACAGCAAAACAAAAGTTGGGAAACACAAGACAACAATTGGCCTCGTAGAAAGTAAGTCGAAGCCCGTTTTGCAGCCACGGAGTGCAGAAGGGTTACAAACCAAACGTTGCCTTTGTTGCCATGGCCATCAGATTACCAAGCACGCCCTTTTTTTGTTTGTGTAATTGGTAACGTTTTGTACAGTTAAGCGCTCAGGCTGACAGATGCGTCAATCTGTTTGTCTGCTTTCAATGATTATTATCTGACACTTCTCTTATTTATTGCACGTGGGACAGCATTCAGGAGATCACGAAACCTGACAGAGTTCTAACCTGGACCCGTCATCACGTGTGCCAGGTACAGGTATAGAGAGACACGGTTTAGATGTGTTTCATTCGGAAAACTTAGGGGAACCGCTATTTGAAGTTCATTTGGGGTCATCACTCTCTCGAAAGGCAGGGGATTATCACTTTATCTGTTTCACTTCAAATGAGTCCATACAACGTTTTGTTTTCTTCCTCTTGTGCGCACTCCGAGTTTTGTAGCTCTGTTTCACTTCAACACTGTGTTTCGGCGTCCACTGAAGCGCACACCAGTGGAACATCTGTGCTTTAGATTTCCACATCATGCTCACCAGCACCCCGCGTTCACAAAGGTTACCTTGAATATATAGGCCAGTATTTAACTTGGATCTACAACTATACCTAACGTATCCATCACGGTTTGGCTGAGCTTGCGCGACTCACTCTATTTTTTTTTTTTTTTTAGCAGACCAGCAATGCATAACCTGTGTGTAAAACGTTGTGGGTTGTCGAAGTTATCAAGTGGGATTTGCGGCGCTCTCTGCAGGAACCTCCGGCTGCTAGAGTTCAAAGCCACACGCACAGACGTGCCATACAAACCATTAAAATATCTTCTTGGCTACTAGACTGGCTTCTACAAGCCATTCTCCTAGTCAGCCTTAGGAGACCAAGGAAAGAGAGGAAGTTTTGTTGTTCTCAACTTAACAAGTAGAACTACGACTTGATCCGACCTTTTTTTTTCCCTTTTAGGTGTCCCCATATTCTGCTATACAAAATTTTGGAGGGATATTTCAACAGGTGGGAAACGGTAAGAATGACATATCATTGATAAGCTGAGAGTATTGTATACAAAATTGAAACATGCAAAGATAAATTAGAGTTGCTGCAGTAGTACATGACACTGCAACGCACTCAAAGTTCCCCGTGTGCCTCAAAATGAATTGAATATATTTAGTTTTAATGCGCAAAAGCTATAGGCTATCCTAATGAAACGGCCAATAATCGGCTATGATATTACATGTGCAGAATTGAAATTGTTAGCAGAAACTATTTGAGGGTTTAAAGTGAAAGCCAAAGGAGCAAATGCGACGTTTTATGAGACCTCGCTGCATTATTCAGCTTTTTGGTTTGGGATCTCGTACAGCTCCCTAGCTTACTTGTCTCCAAGAGTGAGTGAGTGCATGCACAACTTGGACCAGAAATAGCACTTCAAAGTTTTGCATTACGCTGGTGCTGTGATGCCTCTGAAGGCTGCAGCTGTGAGCCTCATGAGCCACATGCGTAAAGGCCATTTAATAAGCATCTTTTGGATCCGTCACGTCTCAAAATATTGACTCTGTTTCTAATGTGCTGGATATGACGCTGTCAGCAAAGGTTTTGACAAGTCAATCCATAGAAATAACCTAGAGTAATACAGGTTTGCAACTGATTTTCTCTTATCAAAAATGGTAGCTGATTAAAAGTCACTTAATATTCGGTTAATTGCTTTATTTTAATTACTACATCTAAGAATGATGAATTCAGTCACCCTTAAACACAAGTTCAGATAGTGTGCACTTGTTTTTCTCATTAACGGAAATGCTGACGAGCGACTCTGAAAATAATTTGGGGTTTTAGACTTGACACTACAAATTACGAACCACGTAGAAGACAAACAGCACCTATTAAAACACCTCGTATCTGACATCAGATTGACCACTACTTTATGGATTTCACAAAGTCACAGTCATCTTTTTTCCCTGCAAACAGAGATGATAAAACTTCAGTCAAAAATGAGCCGCACATGTCGAATTGGTGTATATAACGCATACTCCCAAAATGTAAAAAAACAAATGAGGAAAAGTCAAAGTAATGGCAGTGTCACAAGAGAAAAAAAAATCTAATACAACTTCCACAGTTATGATATTGCAACACAATTATTGCAGTGTCGGCATGCAAGATTGTTTCACCGAAAAAGTCAACCATGCTGAAAATTATAGTCCGTGTGAAGCTATATAAACAAATTAGTCAGCATTGTAATAACTAACCATTTGATTTCTTTTAGTCTGCTGACGGTTTAAAAAAGACAAAGTCCGTGTAGAAAAAAATACCCATCTGGAGGATAATTTATAAAACCGCATGGCGTTTTGTTACGATTTGTAACTATTACTGTCTTTCTGTTACGCATTCAAACAAAGATAGAAAAATAATCACGCTTAGTTTTATCCTTTGCAGGATAAGCTTGTATCGGTACTTACAGTGGGCTACAGAAACGAATTCTTTTGAACTTAAGTCTGCGACGGCACCACCTTCTGTGACCCTCATCTGCTACCGTCCTGGGTCTAAAGGAAAATTACCCCGGATCATAACAACAGGTCCCGTCCATTACATTTTTTCCTCGGGACAATGGCCGCAGCTCGCCCTATTCACACATCCTACTCACACGGATCCCACCAGGCAGAGCACGGAGTCAGCTCTGTAGTATGCGCTGAAGGGCAAACGGCTGGATATGTAAATATGTGCATTTATCAAAGCGCATATTAATGGTATGTACTCCGGACTATTTAAAACTACCACGTGGAGTTGTCCTTTGCACAAGTTTTTCTCCGCTGACATCGATCGTTTACGTGCGTAAACTTACGCGTAATTTGTGCGTAAAGCTGCCCTTGATACGCTGCAGTGCAAAATAAAGATATCACTGCATTATTTATGATCCTTACAACTTTTACAGCGACAATATGTACACTCTTCGCGGAGCAGTCTGTTTTGTAAGGACATAATCAAAGTGGGGAAATTGCTATTTCATAGCCTCACAGCCTTTGTGAGCCGCAACAAAAGAGAAGCGACTGTATATCGGGATCAACTTTTTAGGACTTTTATTGTACAATAACCTTTGCATAACAACTATTCCTTTTTTCCTGAGCGTTGCCCGAGGCACTGCGCATGCGCGGTAGCTGCTCGCTGTCACTAAGACATTTTTCTTCACGTTGGAAACTGTCACTGGTGACGTCAATCACAGAGCTCTGACCAATTAGAGCGCAGGGTGATTGTTTAGCTCCACGGGCTGCAGCGCCTACCATGAATCTCTATTCAGTATCAAAGCGTCCTGCTGCTGCCTCTCAACCGAATGGGATTCCATGTAGTCTGCAGATAGACTTAACTTTATAAAGTTTTTTTTCTTTATTTTTTCATTGCGATTAAAATATATTTGTCATCATCATTATTATTTTGCCTGCTGTCAAGTTATTCTAAAATTAGGAAGTAATGAGCGTGGATGCTTTGGGAAGCCCCGTGATGGACCCTACGTTTTCCAAACGGAACACGGCGCTGAGATTAGTTGACTTGGCAGGGGCTCACCACCATCACCATCATCACCACCATACCCCTCAGAGCGTGACAGGCTTCCCGGGGTTCAGCAGCCATCCACACTCAATGGCTCACTCGCACCCTGGGGAGATTACTGCGGAACCCCGCCTGGGGCCGAGTCCATTCGGGCCAGAACACATGGGGCACTCCGCGGCCCTCAAAATCAGCCCAGCCCATCATTATCCCCACCACCATCACCACCACCACAATCATCATATGGCAGGCCACAGTGAAGTGGTCTCCAGTCAAACGGGAGCTTTTGGCCCGGTTCAGGCGACATCGGTCCCCTATTCTATGTCTCACACGGCCCAGGCTTTATCTGCAGGTAGGGATTTCCTCATCCGGAGAGATCTGACAGCTCAAACCATGCCAGTACTGACTGACCAGACTGCTGGTTCAGCCTCTCACCACGGAATGTTTGTCTCAACAACAGGTAGCTATCCCGGACACTATGGTCATCACCCTGACGCTGGGAACCATACCCTCTTCTCCGGACTCCACCACGAGCAGCCTTCTAGCGGATCACCGGGTGGCCAAACACTGAATGGACAAATAAGGTTAGGACTACCTGGAGAAATGTATGTTAGGTCTGATCACTTGAGTCAAGTGGCAGGCTCCAGGGCTGATCCGTTCTCTGCCTCGCCTTTGCATGGCTACGGTGGTCTGAATCTGAACATGAATCTTAGCGCTCACCACCACCACGGAGCCGGTGCCTTTTTCCGCTACATGAGGCAGCCGATAAAGCAAGAGCTGATTTGCAAGTGGCTGGAGCCGGAGCACTCGCCGAAGAAACTTTGCTCCAAAACTTACAGCACCATGCACGAACTCGTAACGCATGTGACGGTAGAGCACGTTGGAGGACCAGAGCAAGCGAACCATATATGTTTTTGGGAAGAGTGTCCCAGGGAAGGCAAACCGTTTAAAGCAAAATACAAACTTGTAAATCACATTCGAGTGCACACCGGGGAGAAACCGTTTCCGTGTCCGTTCCCTGGTTGTGGGAAAGTGTTCGCAAGATCCGAAAATCTAAAGATTCACAAAAGGACGCACACAGGTCAGTGGCTTAATATTCATAGAAGGAAATGCTGTGATTGTTGGAAATGCACTGTAAATCGTAAAATAGAGCTATCAAGTCGCATTTTGAAATTCAGCTGTGGGGTTTGCACGCTTTCTACTTGCAAGGGAAGTGATTTTTTTGTGGATAATTTTCCATTATTTATTTATTGTAATTTTATTTTACGCAACTTTACGCATTATAATGCACTTTCATGACCTGTGGCAATTAATCAGTCCGCGCTGCTGCTCGATAGCCTATACAGCAGGACGCAACAGCTACTGGCCACCTGTTTGTTATGAGTTGCATCAGTGCTCGCAAGTTTCACAAAGGTTGGGTTTGGGGATTATGGTACAGCTCGCTCAGGCGTTTGACGGTTCAACCTCTTGTTTACACCACAGCAGAAAGACTGAGGCCCACGTCAGGTCCTGTTTAGTTCAGTGCATGTCCTGCCAGACATGACTGGCAGCAAAGCTGGAAAGGTGCATCTTCACTTTTAGCAATAGATATAATGGTTATGATGATGATGATGTGGAGATGATGTTTTTATTTTAGCCTTGGCCACCCACTTCATCTGTTATTAGTATTATTTTTAGTAGTAATATTATTATTATTGTGTTTCATTTTTGTCGCTGTTATTTCAAAATCATGTAAGCTACGTGTAGCTGTGTGTCTCATCAATCTGAAAGTAACCGGTTCATACAGAAAACGTGCTTTTTGGACGATTAAGCCTTTGTACTCTTTAGCTCAAGCAACAAGTTTACAAGTGGAGACGGCTGAAACAGTTTACTAACAGGCAGGTTTGCACAGCTGACTGACTACTTACATAATGATGGGTGTGCATGCAATGCAGCTTAAAGCATCTCTGATTTAACTGCAAAAATAAATACTGGTGCAACATGGCTGCTTGCCACCCAGTGACGTGCTGTGGAACTAGGAAGGAAAAGAGGCCTGACAATGTCGAGTCAGACTTGTAAATTAATACAATTACTTTTGCCCTTCTTTTTTATCGGTGGCTACATGGCAATATCCCTCTGTTTCATTTTTGCACCCTATGTATTATTCATATAATTTGCTCACATTACCTAAGTACAAATCTGCTAAATTATTTCTGTGTGTTGACTCCCAAGGGGCCTGGTCCTTGGTATCATGTTTAAAACCTATCCGAAAGTGTAGTTATGACTGGGGCTGCCCCTGGGGTCTGCTCCTCGACGGTTTCTTGTACTACACTAATATCCTTGATTGGCTCTCTCAACCCAACAGCTGAAGGTCAAATTGATATTCAGCCCGCAAGTGTAATTAGACAGAGGCAATTACATATTCTCAAAAGCTTTAATCGGGGGAGAAAAATCAGCAGTGGATGATTTCCGTGTAATTTATTCAGATTGTCTTTTTTTTTTTTTTGCCTTGTCATAATCAGGTAGAAATACTTGTTATTAAAACGCAAAATTAGAGCCAGTCCACAACCGTTTGCAGGATTCAAATTACACACAGACTGCGTTATCGCACAGTAGGTGAAGCCTGGCGGTGGCAGTGCTTTGATTCATCATTATTTTTGAGCCGGTATTACAGGCCTGCTACGTCTGTGCTCGTAGCTTGTCTGTTTTGACTGATGCCTTGATGGATGCATACACCAGGTATAGACCCAGGACAGTAGGGGTTCAGCCCTCATGTTTACACCAGACTGGGAGCTGTCCAGGCGGGCAAACTTTTGTTTTCATAGTGCAAGTGGGAGGAGGGGGGTGTAAATGCCCAAAATAAAATCAAATGGCATTATAAAGATAAACATGAAATAATAAAAGCTGGCACACTTTTACATATTTTTGGCTCTATTCATACAGGTCATAGTTCATTTTCAGCTCGTGCTCTCATATGTTACACTTAACCAGGTTGTTTGTACATTTCATATAAAAGTGAAGACATGTAGGGGGAAAAAAGTATGTTAATGAAAAGGCAGCTTAGTGCCTCAGGATGAGTATCACGTGTTCACATTTTAACTCTTTCATTTGCTTATTTGTGTTTTATCTTGTCTCACAAAAACAGGTGAGAAACCCTTCAAATGTGAATTTGACGGCTGCGACAGACGCTTCGCCAACAGCAGTGACCGGAAAAAGCACTCGCACGTCCACACCAGCGATAAGCCCTACAACTGCAAAGTGAGAGGCTGCGATAAGTCCTACACACACCCCAGCTCCCTGAGGAAACACATGAAGGTGCACTGCAAGTCCCCTCCGCCTAGCTCGGGCTATGAGTCGTCCACTCCCTCCCTGGTCTCCCCTTCCTCAGACTTGGGCCGGGAACCAGGCGGCTCCTCGGTGTTGTCAGAGCCGGTGGGAGCCTCCCAGCCCGCGAATTTAAGCGAGTGGTACGTCTGCCACAGCTCAGGTGCCAGCGGCGCTCAAACACCACCCAGCGGGCACTCTACACCGGACCCCGCAGACGAACCACCTTACAGAAACCCAGAACCGAGGGACGCTTTTTAACCCGGCTCAAGCTCACACACACACACACACACACACACACACACACACACACACACACACACACACACACACACACACACACACACACACACACACACACCAGCAGAGACAGAACACATTTCCACAAGCTTAACAATTAAAAACGCGGTTTGGCTTTGGTGCCCATGTGCCTGTTTAGGACCACTGGTACCCTTATTTTGGAGGGGGGGGGGGGGGAGTGAAGGGGATGAGCCACAAAACAGAAATCCAGAATCAAGAGACGCGTTTTAACCACATCGGAAGGAAAATGTGCTAACCTTGAAGACGTGCTAATTTCCAGGCATATAAAAAGAATATATTTTCAAACATCACTTGTTCAGAGCGGTTGGCTCGGTGCCTACACGCCCTGACGGCCCACAGGTCCACTTACAGAGAGAGTCTTGTAAATCTGTTAGACAATGTGGTACATTATTGTAGGCTTAGGCATGTTGGTGTAAAATTATTATTATTATTATATTTTTTTTTGTAAATGAGTTTGAACTTCGATATGTTTTTATTTATTTTTCAATCTAACATTGAAGGATTTTGTATTACCGAACCAAAGTGCATGTTTGAATTAGAACAACAACAGCAACAGAGACAAAAAGGAAAAAAAAATGTACATTTGTAAATTTTTGTAAGTTTCGATGTGTTGATGTTGATAGTTTTGTAAGGATCTGTCTTCGGAGCAGTTTCTTACCGGATACTGCGGCTATTTGTACAAAAACATTTTATGTTTACATCTTACGTCCCCTCCCAAACATTTGTGCAGAGGGTCAGTAATTAAGCTGTTTCATATGCCTGCAGTATTTGATATACGACCGTGAAATTATAAATGTTTTTTATCAAAGTGGGCATTTTCTCTTTTTTTTTTTTTTTTTTTTTTTTTTTTTTTTTTTTTTTTTTTTTTTTTTGAATATCTGAAATCCAGCGGCACTCAAAATGCGTACCGAATTGCCTTGTAATTTGTGAGTATTTTGAATAAATCTTGTATGACAAAAGTTAAATCCCTGAGCTATTCGGGTTCATAGAATTTATCAGGTCTCTTGATAAAGATCACTTTTGTTTTGTTTGTTTGTTTGTTTTTGGTCACTTAACACGCCTTTATATTATAAAAGAGATTATATATTATTAATATATTTTCTTAAACAATCTGTTGCTGCATAGCTTGAAGGTCAGCTCCACTAACATATCCCACGTTCATGCCTGCTGTTCGGATTCAAAACGTCTTTTAAATTCCGAAGTAATAATCAAACGAAAAATCATCTCGGAAGAAAATGCAGTTATAATTTCTTTTAATTTTAAAGTTTTTTTCCCTCGGTGAAAGGGGCGGTCTAAAATGTGCTACACTTGTGTTAAATCTCACTTACTCCGCTGAGCTGTGGTATGATGCAGACGTGGGGTAGAGTTTGATGAAAGGCTACAATATTCGGATCCAGACTTCAAAGAGCATTTCGCACAAAGAGCCATTTTTTCACGACGGTGAATCCTCATGGTGAATTAAGATTTCTATAGCAATAGCCAAGTCAAACTCAAATGATATGGGGCCAAGTCCGTGGACTCAAAAGCCTGCTCTAAATAATGTAATATTTGCTTCCCATGGGGTAGGAAACGGTAATCTATGTCCTTTATACTGCAGACTGGGGCAGTATAAAGAAGAGAAATATATTCTTTTGCTCCGGGCCTACTTTACGACAATCAAAGGAGAAGCCGCTAAAAAACAGTTGTCCCACACCATAATAGACTTGCACTTTAGGGCCTAACCGCTCACTAGATAAAATGTAACCATAATCATATTTTAGACTCTACACACAAAATACATAAAACTATAGGAGAGAGTCTGTCTTTTAATGATAACCGTTTCAATAGTAGACAAGTAAATTAATTATTTCAGACTTTGCAGAAAGCCCCATTTTTTCCCAGGCAGAAATCTTTTCCAACGTTATAATTAAAAAGTGAAAATTTGGAGTTAACTAAAAGCTTGAAGACCTTTGCTGTAGTGGGAAAACTTCAGGCTGAGGAGTACATTTTTTACTCTGGCCCTCACTGAGGCAGAAGTGGGTGGAAAACGCACACAGCTACAACTCTCTCTCTCCCTCAGCGTTTCCAGGGTTTGGTTAAGTTCATGACAGTTTGCTCTGTAGGCTCAACTGAAAGCAAAGAAAACTAACACTAATAGAAGATGATGGTGATGCCTCTGTTTTTTAGCACCAGGTCTAATAAGTGCAGGGGGGGGGGGTGAAAGGAAGGAAGAAAAAGAAAAAACAAGATAGTTGGATCTCAATTGAAAAAGAGAGTCTTTGAAGTGGAAGTTAATATCAGAGGGATTCTTTTTAGGTTGTCTGAACGACGTTGATGACACGGAAAGCCTTTTGTCACCGATTTGTTGGGCTCCTCTCTATTGGGTCTTCTAAAGCTTTTTAGTTCCAGTCGTCAAAATGGACAAGAAACTGAGTCGCGTAAAAAAAAAAAAAAAACGTGTTCCATTTAAGGCAGAAAGCGAACGACGAGCAACATTTTTTTTAAAGTTGTTTGATTAGGAAATGAGTAAGGAGAGGGCGGGTTATAAAGACGAGGTCCGTGTCTCGGCTACATGTGGCCAGTTTTGCGTTTTTAAGCCATTTTTCTCTTTTCTGAATTCGATCTTCACTGGGGACAAAGATGTAAGTGTGTGTGTGTTGTGGGGGGGGGGGGGGGTGTACGTGGATTAATTTCAATTAAAAATAAGACCGTGGCCAAGTGTTGAGGGACTGTGCAGGTCTGCAGTTTTGGTAACCTTTACGCGGACTAATTTATGACGTTGACCAAATAGAAACATCCTGTGCTTTGTCGGAAACTGAGCGGGCGTGTGCGGGGTTTGGTTGCAAAGCAGCTTGGAGCCAAAGAGTGTTAACCGGCGTGCATGTAGCTACCATAGCAGAGATAAAATATGAAGACTGTTTGCTTTTACTATATATACATTTTTTTTTACAGTTAAATTCCCGGTATGCAGATACTTGATACCAGAGGCAGTCAATACAGTAAGAGCTCTTTAACAACCGATCACGTTGGACTCACTCATCCAGCCTTCAGCTGAGTGACAACCTCTGATCTGACACCATCTCTAGGGTCAAGAATCGAGAACAGGTGTGTGTGTGCGTGGATGGGGTGGGGTATGTTGGGGGAGGGGGGTATAAAGGGGACAGAGAGAGAGAGAAGGAGGGAGAAGCAACACTGCACGAATGCTGAAGAAGCAAAACAGGAAACTGTTGGCGACGCTGGAGTTCAACAGGAAATACATATTCGCGTTAATTGCAGAAGGGACAATTAAAAAGAAAAGAAGGGGGAGTGGAGGTCGAGCTTCAATCGCTACAAAAAAACAGAGAAAATGAATCTATTTCATTTCTTCTAAGTCCCTCTCACTATCACGGCTACATCCTAAGGCTCATTTGAGTGTGAAATATTATTTCTTTGTAAAATAATGGAGGCGGTAATCCTACTTCCGGAAACTGTCCGGCATTATTGAACAAAGCCCCTTTAATAGGGGGATTAGCAGTCTTGGAGTAAAAGGCTCACTAACCCCCTCCTCTCCTCCACCTCATCCACACCACCCTCATCACTCCCCCTTTCCTCCACGCCCACCTCACGCCTGAGCTCCACCATCAGCACCTCCAACACCAACCAGGTCATAATTATCAGGAATGAAGAGGCTGAAATTGGCATGGAAAAAAAAGAAAAGAAAGAAAGACAGACAGAGAGACAGGTGCAATAGACCAACCAGAAACAGACCGGAAAAGCTGGACAGAGTTGTTATAATAAGGCTGCCAGTGTGGACACACTGATTTAAGAAAAAAAAAGGTGTTTTGATTTCATTATTTACTACAGTAAATATATTTATATTTGAGCTGTCAAAATGGCAACTTAAATGACAGAAAGAAAATCCCGCCAAATTTTACTCTTTTATTATTGTTTTATAATATTATTATAGGAATATTCCACCGCTTTTTCCTCGCAAAGGAGTATTACACTTTATTTCTTGGACTTTGATCAAGTGTGGAGAAGGGAGGTCAAAAGGCAAACTATGCACACCCACAAGTTAACTACAACCATAAAGCCTGTCATGAATATTGAATATTTTATTCCGATACCGTCCAAGGTTAGTTTTCCGAGGGGATTTACAAGATCACGTGACCGTGATATATAGGCTACCATGAGCTTCCGTCATAAAGATTTATGACGGCCTTTAAAGCTAAATTAACTGTATTCCGCATATAAAGAGGTGAGCAAGCAGAGCCGAGGCAGGTTTAAGGCTACACCCCTGCGGCAGCTTTTGTATATAGCAGGCAAACTGAACATAAGTCACAAGAACCTGAAGAAGGGAAAGAAAATCTGTGCCAATAAGACCTTATAGACCGCCCTCTTCCCCCCACCCGCTCCACATCTCAACTCTCTCCCCAGGTTTTGGGATTACCGTCATCCACAGATTTCAGGACACTAAGTTATTTTACTTCCCCAGATGAGTGGGGCTCCCTCCAATGGGAATCAGCCCCCTAGTAGCCTATAGGCCCGAACACGGATTTCTAACAACCTCCACATTATATGGCAGAATGTGCCACATACTTCACACCTGCACTCTGAATAGCAGCTCCCATTCAATGTATGATACGCCTGTTGGCCTTGGACTCAATGCAGCTGCACGAATGAATCAGCGACCCGCTTGTTTGGTCTCTTTTGATGTGAGATCTTCTCTCATTTGATCTTGCAATCTGAACCAGAGACTATTAGCACGCGAGAGCTATGATGACTCGTATTGTTAATGCGCTTTCGATATATGCGTGCAAACTTGTTGCTATATCGCGAGCAGCAATTTGAGATATGGCGTTATTGTAGGCCTTTGTGCACTTACTTTGAGTGCGTGGAAGAGGAAGGGGAAAAATAGTGAGAATTAAGTGAAACCTTGTTTTTCTTCCTTTTTTCTTTTTTTTTCAAACACATAATAAAACAACTCTTTAACAGGATTACACGCGTACACGGATCATGTTATGAAGTAATTTCACTTCTTTTCCAGTAAGTAAATATTAGGTGTTCAGCAACTGCACAGTCACGTATCTAAACTGTGCAGCACATTTGCAAGCTTCACTGTCATAAAAGAGGGCCATGCATCATGCTGCATAAGTGATTAGGAATTTGAAGACTTACCCTTTGGCGAATAAATCGACCTGACATACATGCGGCAATTTATCATATTTCGAATGCATTTTCCTCTGTTGATCTTTGTATGTGAGCCAAATGTTTGATTTTTTTTTGTCACATATTAGTGTCATGGAGAACAAGTGTGTTAGGTTTAGTGTAAATTAAATATAAAATGAAAACGCACATCCACCCACTCCCCCCACACACCAACAAACAAATAACGCTATAAACGCAAAAGGGTTATTCCTCAACTTTTGGGAAGCTCCTGCTCTGAACAAAAGCGATTCCCAACTCCAGAAGTTAAGATAGCCAGTGCTGCAGAAATAACAATAAAATAACGATTTTTTTTCCTGCCACTGCGCTGGAATTGGTTCACAAACAAGGAAATGGGCCGTTTTAGGACAAAAAAACCCTCCTACTGATTTAGCCAAAGCCATAATGGCAAAAGTGCGTTTATACACTCGATAAAAAAGATAGTATATCATCATATATCAAAATAACACAGAGTATTAGGAGATGCAAATGCTGCCAGTATTATGAATCATTGGTTTATCTGCACTATTTCACACGTCAGATGGGAAATATGTTCCAAACAGACAAGCAAATGCACAGTTTGAGAAGAAACATAATGCATGTGATCACTCTAGCAGTATCGAAGACTTTGGGTCATTTCGCCATCTCCCGCAGGAAAGACATTATGCCTCTCATATTTACATACTCTTTAATATTTGTCAAACATTCATAAATTACACACTAATGAAATGTTCGACGGTCCTTGGAGATCAAGCTAATGAAGACATAGACTTTTTGTGCTTTTGACACATCTTTGTTACGTTTAGTAC